TCAGAAGTAAACAAGCTTGTTTACTTCTGATGGCAATGATCTGATGAATATCTCTTTGCATGTTGTATATAAAAAGAGATATATATGCAATCTAATATTTAGCCATAGAAAAGCGTGGTTATAATTGGTCAGACAGAAAAGATTGGACTGAAAGTGGTTTGATGAAAATAGGTCAGAAAAAAAGGGGGAGGGGAGGGAAGGGTGCTCCTCCACCGACAGTAAGGACGCACAACACACGATTTGATTACCGTAAAAATTTAATGCTACAGTCAGGATATATATATTTATAAACATTTGATTCTATATGCATTTCTATAGCTATAACCGGTTTGCTTTTGTTGCAATTAAATAATTACTACAGTGCATGCACTGCAGAAAACATCACGCGGTTAATTGACGATTAATGTTTTTTGTTGCATTTTGCATATTCAAAGCGCTGCAACGATTTCTGATTCGCTGCACGGAGTTCCTTCTGGAGAATTCCGAGAGGACGGATTAGCGGCCGCCGAGCAAGATGCGTCTGCGTGAAAATCTGCACAAATCTTTCCACGACGCAATGGTCCATACATATAAACCTTAAGTACCTTTGCTCCGATCTGGTTTCCGCACTGGCCGGCCTGCAGGTGCACAATCTCGCGCATTTTGGGCAGGGAGATGGGAGGATGGTCGAGTAGGAGCTGGGAATCTGAGCGCCGGAGATACACAGGATGATGGCTCCCTGCTGCAGTCGATTGTGCAGGATTTGTTGCGCCGCCTTTAAGATCCTCTCTACTGGCCTGAAACGGTGGTGCAACCTGACGTCATCGCCATGGTAACCAGAGACTGGAGGAGCCAAAACCCCGTGGAAATGGTGGATAGGATGCGAGGAGCTGCATCACTCCCCTAGATTCTCTCACGAACTGACTGACCCGCTGCAAAACACGGACACGCACACACTGGGCATGCGCTGAGACTGTGGGAGGCAGTTAGATCAGCTGCTCGTTGTTTGGCATGAAATGAGATAAAATGTGTAAACGTGAGTTTTATTTAGAACTTCATTGTATTTCAAAACCATCAAGACTTTTTTTTTTTTTTTTTTTTAGGTGGCGTACTGGAACGTTGGCAGGTTGGTGTGCACTGTAAAGGACCCAAGAATCAGCTGATATTATTAATGCAAAACATTTATCTCGCTGGTTCCCTTCAGTCTTATCAAAACGGCACTTTAATTGCTGTTAATTGCCTCTCTAATTTTGCAACTCGGCGTCAGATTACAAAGAGAATGAAATTTGATACATGGCTTATTCTGGCCGACTAACAGTGCCATAAAAACAAAAAAAACAAAAACAAAAGAAATGTTGCCAAAACAAGTTGATAATGGGAGGTTGACATTGATGTATTATATTCAAAAGTGCTTTCAATGTAGTTTAAAACTTAAGTAGTGTATTCAGCATTCGTCAACTCACATGGTGTTTAAAAGCAACACTGAATTTAAATTATTAAGCATTTCATATTCATAAAAAGCACAACTATTTAAATGATATAATTAACAACTGTCTAACAATCTAAAATGACATGTTCACAGTGTAAAAATGGTCACCAAAACCTAAAAATGCGTCCTCTCTTCTAACAGACACTTTTAATCTGAATGCTCTCCGTCTTCAATCTATTTTCGGCTTTCACCGAGTTACAGGAGAGTGAACAAGACTAAAGCTGGATAACATAAAGAAAGAATAATGTACAGCAGTTCTGAGATTTTCACAAATATTATTAAAATATAAATGTACAATTTAATTAAAAATTAAACTAATGTGCTTGGTGCAAAAAAAATGTGCACAAAAAAAATCCTCTAACAAAGCTGTCTAAGTTTACACACCTTTAGACATCTTGAAGATGTTATGATTTAAATGATTGAACTCATTTATTTTCATTTTAGTTTCTGTGTTGATGATTTTCTTATGGTTCATTTATTTGCTTGGCTCTTGCCATTTTAGTGTAGCCTTTGTGTTAGTTAATGTGCTTTACATTAGTGTTTCTTTCTATTTACTTTTGATGTCTGTTCCTGTGTTTTCCTTAAGTTCTCTCTGCTTCATTTTTCTTTCACTTCTCCCTTAGTCTGATATTTTGATCCAAAACACATAACTGTCAACACCAAATTTGGAAAGAGGAAGACAGATTTTTCTTTGCTGTCAGTTACATAGTTAGCTTCATCTTAACCCAAACCCACAATAGTAAAGTCTTATCAAGATGAAATTGAAGTTTCAAAATGGGATAATAAGAGCACAGAGCTAAATCTGAGAGAAGATCTACAGGGTCGACTGAATACAACTGTTTACAAGCAATGTTTTCACAATCTTTTGGACAAAACGTGCAACACTGGTTGACTCAAAGGTGTTTTAATAAAGTATTGGTTAAAGGTTGCAACCAGGAAAATGCAATTTTTAATTTTTTTTATTTAATATCAAAGGATTTTCATCAAATAAATAATTTAACTTGAATTATCCAGAAAGGTGGGAAAAGTTGTATTCATATTGTTTTTTTGTTTTTTTTTTTAACGCCACATAAACCTCGTATTTTGCCAATGATGTGAACATTTTTGGATTAGGATTTCAAGCCAATTAATTTCCAAATTCACTCGCCAACATAATGAGGCCACAGTCTGAGCCTAAGAGATAGTTTGGCAACAAAACTACAGTCATTAAATTCACTCATAAAAATAGTTGAACTATTTCAACTACAGCTGAATTATTTTTATCTCACGTTCCTCTGCTCTGATGGCCATTTGCCATAGGAAATTGCTAAGAGCTCCTATTGTAAAACCAGCTTGTTGTTGTCCTGCTTTAGGCCGTCAACACAGATGTCACAACTGAAACGTTCAAATTTATGTCCTGAAAGATCACATTCCAGCCTTGTAGAGAGTTACCAACCAGTTTCAAGTTCCTTCTCAACTGGCCAATGAGGCTTTATTTCCTGTTTGCCAGCCATGCTACATTCGGGACTTTCTCACACTGCTGCATGACTGATGTTACACCCACAGAGGCCAAGCACAGGAAAACCAGGAACATTTGCCTCTTCTCATCAAGAACAATAGATCAGCTTGCAGTTAACACACACTGAGACTTCAGGACGGCGTGTGTCGGAACCAACGCTAAAGAGCTTTCTTTTCTTTAATACTGAGCGTTTGACATTCGTAAGGTAAGGGTCATGTCTCTCCCAGAGGAGGATCTGACATGTCCAGTGTGCTGTGACATCTTCAGGGACCCTGTTCTGCTGTCGTGTAGCCACAGCTTCTGCAGGAGCTGTCTGAAGAAATGTTGGGACACAAGGCCAAGGGAATGTCCAGTTTGCAGAAGGAAAGCGTCCAAATGCCCTCCTCTGTCCAATTTAGCCCTGAGGAATGTCTGCGAAGCTCTTCAGCAGGTGAGGAGGCAAAACTCTCTGGAGGAGCAGGGGAGGTGCAGCTTGCATGGGGAGAAGTTGAAGCTGTTTTGTCTGGCTGACGAACAGCCCATCTGTGTGGTGTGCCAGGCGTCCAAACTTCATAAAAATCACGACTGTTCCCCGGTTGAAGAGGCACTTCTGGACTGCAAGGTAAGGGGAATAAACAGCCTTTTTGAGAGCTGTTGACAGAATGCGGTTCTTCTAGTCCGTCTTGATTGTCAACCACCGTGTGAGAGAAAGAGACGAGAGAGCAACAACCCCCGAAGTGATGTCTGCTGACTGGATATGTTTGGCTTTCAGGACAAACTGGAGTTCACGCTGAAAAGCTTGGAAAGCAAACTGGAGTACCTCAAGAGAAAACACCAGACCTCTGCTGACATGTTGGCATACATTAAGGTAATTCACGGTTAAACAGAAAGCAACAATTATTTCCATAAAGAAGACTGAAAACATTAAAACGTGTTCCTGATAATCTTCCTGACAGTATCAGACACTGGCCACTCAAAAAAAGATAAAAAACCAGTTTGAGCAGCTACATCAAGCCCTTTGTGATGAAGAGTCGGTCCGCAGAGAAGCCGTGAAGAAGGAGGAAGAGGAGAAGACTGCATCGATCAAGAAAAAAATTAATGGACTTTCAGCAGAAATGCTTTCTGTCGCTGAGACCATCTCTGCCATCAAAACACAGCTCAAAGAAGATGACATGATTATATTAAAGGTACAAAGCCGCACAACGCAGCAATGCCGTTGACGATTAAACACACACTTAACCTTAATGCTGTTTTGTTTCTTTCAGAATTTTAAAGCCACTCAGGAAAGGTAGGCTGCTAGTATTTTAAAACATTAATGTTATAAAATACACATATATTGTAATTATTACTCTGTTTTAATCACAGGGACAAAGATATGGAGGATGATTTAGATGACATGTCCGGTTTACTGTTGGATGCAGCAAAACACCTCTCTAACCTGAAATACAGTGTCTGGGAGAAAATACAGGACAACATTGACTACAGTAAGTATATTTAACAACTGTAAAACAGACGGATTGTCCACCACAAACCTGATTTGTAGGTGATCAATACTCTTTGGCTAATTTTCTGCTTTGTAGCCTCTGTAACTTTAGACCCAAACACAGCACACCCATGCCTCGTCCTATCCGAAGACCTCACTTCCCTCCATTACTCACAGCAGCCCAGCTGTTGCCCTGACAACCCTGAGCGCTTCCACATGAGTGCAGAAGTGGTAGGAATGACCTTGCGCGGCTCAGGAAGCCACCACTGGGTTGTGGAAACAGGAAGTAATCAAGACTGGCTCCTGGGCGTGGCCTCATTGTCTGCGGCGAGGAACGCCGAGGTCGCAGCTCGGCCTGAAAATGGTTTTTGGACTTTGTGCTTCCGGGACGGAGAGCTCAGAGCAATGAACTCGCCGCCCACCCTGCTGACTGTTACAACTAAGCCCAAACAGGTCAAAGTTCAGCTGGATTACAGCAAGGGAACAGTGTCATTTTTTGACCATGAGGACAATTCACTCCTGTATGCTTTCACGCAGACATTCACAGAGCCTTTATTGCCGTATTTTTATACACAGAGTAGTCACCCTCTGAGAATAATGCCAGAGAAGTTGCTTATCACAGTGCTGCGCCAGTAAGTAGGTTTTCTTTCTTTCTTCTTTTTTTTTTTTAGTTTTCCTGTTTTCCCAAAACAATGTTCCTGAAGGTCTGCCTTCATTTTACACATTTCTGGACACAGAAACGTTAAGCACAGAAACGTCCAGCTTTTAGTTCAAACCAACGCCATCCTCTCAAATCCAAGTGAACACTAAACTTTGTTCTTAGGCATTACATAAAAAACTCCCCTTCCCAAATTGAAAACAAGCAGCGTTTTGTAAAAGTATTCAGATTTCTTCAGCTTTTTACATATTTTGCCATGCTAATTAAGCAAACATTATAGTATTTTATTAGGATTTTAAGTGGTGCATGATTGTGAAGAGGAAAGAAAAAGAGATGTTTTAAAAATCTATAATTCATTATTAAAAACTGAAGAGTGTGGCATGCATTTTATATTCATTATGCTGTAAAATCACGTTTTGCTGCAGTAACAGGTGCTGGAAATCAAACCTTCATGACATACGCTCGGTTTTCTAACCAGATTCCTCAGTTTTGAGTTGGAACAAATTTAGATAACACTTATGTTAACTTAACATTTATGTTATTGGCTAGGAAAAACATGTGACCTTTAAAAAGCTATGAACCTTGGTTATTCTTCTTTATGAATGTTAGGATGGGATGTTCAGTGGTTTCTACTTTTGTTGCTACTTTGTGATAGCTCTGTGGAAGCTGCACTGACTGCGGTAAACAATACTATGTAACAGTTTGCACTAAATGGACACTGAAAGGGCTGTATGAATAGATTTGTGTTTAGGTCAGGAGTTTATGTCTTGTGCATCCAAAGCTACAAGTGGAACTTTAGATTTTATACAAGGACTTAATGTTTTTATAATTGTCTGTGATGGTCTTTAAAAAACAAAACAAAAGCTAGTTTTAGATGTTTTGCAACATTCAGACTAGAGCTAGGGCTTTTGGTCATTAGTTTGCTAAATAAGTGTATTTTTTTTCTTTTTTCTCTTTAAATAAAACAATCTGTACAAGTTCCCTTCTTCTCAAACTTGACGCTTGAAGGTCCATTTAACATTTAGCTACCCCAAGATCAAAAATTATTATTTGGCTCCTGATTTAGTTCTAGGAGGAACACAAGCTGAGCCAAATATTAAAATATGTGAACAGTGTCAAAATATTTGATATGTTACTTAGAAGATCAGTCCGTGTTTTTTTTTTTTTTTTTTTGCTCATCGGACAGTAATAGAAAATAATGTGATGTATTTCTCTCTTCTGTGTAATTTTGTTGCTGCCTTGTTGTGTTTGTCACCAGTAGTAAAGATTCTTTGTGAAGATCTTGGCTGATTTGTACTATTTTTTATTTTGAGATGTACATGCTTGGGATTAGCTCAGTGAATATGATGAATATGAAGCCAAATTTACATACAAAACAAACAAACAAACAAAAAACCCCACAAAGTGTTTAATTTTTATTTAGGTGACTGACATCTACTGACCAAAAACATATTGTTGCACAAAACACAATGGCATAGCAAAGGAAAATTTGACAAAACGTCATATTTTAAATGACATCATTTATTTTTTTATGGTTTATTTTCATACACAAGAGGGCGCCAAACCCAAACAATTGACTTGTGAGTAAAATTGATTACATGCCAGTACATTTCAGGTCATAATGAAGTTGTTACAATATCAAGCTGAAATGAATAAACTTATATTATTATATCATTACACATTTTCTCAAAACTGCTTTTTTATTTACTTGACATGAAAAATAAAATTAGATCTAAACACATTTCTAGAGGAAAAAAAACTTCAGTCTATTTCATTACATTATATTTTGTCTTCATAGTGTAATAATATAGTCTTACAAATCTAAGCTGACGGATTTTGTGTGGTTATATTATTATTTTTTTCTGTGGTGATGCAGGAAGTGAACTTCTTAATGCAAGCATCTGGAAGGAAAGGAACCTTCTCCAGACGGGACAAGTAGACAAGTGGTTGGATAGTGCTGCTAATGTTTAGAAAAGCGAAGCCAACGGGCTGCACATAGCAACGAAACACATCGTGGGTGTAATGATCTTCAAACGGAAACAGTGCAACAAGGGGCAAATAGTTGAAAACAATGATACGGAGGATGGAGAGCACCATGTTGAAAGCCTTCTTCTTCATGGGATGCATGTCATCTTTCCCGACGCCACGAGATTTCTTCAGGACCCATAAGATGCTGACATTACAGACCACCATCCAGGTAAAAGTTGCAAGGACTTCGCCAGTGAACACCTTCTCGAAGTTGGGAAAACCGCCCACCATCTTGGCTGCAGAGTAGGCAAAGGTGAGGCAGAGCACCAGCAGTGTGAGGCTTAATCTGTATTTGATGGGCTTCAGCTGCCCAAACGTGATCGGAAAGAGCACTGCCACAAATCGATCCAGGCAGATGCAAGAAAGAAACAGTGGGCCGCTGGTGTCTTTTACGCCGAAGGAAAACTTAACGGCCAACCAGACCTCTTTGCTATGCCAGATGTAAAGATTTAAAAAATTGAGGGGGGTCATGGTGCCAAAGTAGGCATCCATGAAGGCCAAACAGCCCAGGAACAGGTCCGAAGTGGACGGATCTTTGCGATTGCGGATAAGAATTGCAATGACAAGCAAGTTGGCAGGTATTCCCACGATTACATTGACGATTTGTAAGGTAAGGTCAAACAGAACTCCCTCAAAGTACCTCTCGCAGCCATCGAACACGCTGAAATGTTTAACAGTGGCGTTGACATTGACTGTGGTGTTGCGAGGGACTTGTGCAGAAATAGAGGTTGAGTTAAGTGGCAAGAAGTATCTGTCCATGTTGACCAGCAAAAGCAGTGACTCTGAAAGAGAGAACGGAACAAAAGTCGTGGTTGTTATCCAACATATACAACAAGAGCGAGAAAGGATTTTTCCGTTGAAGCCCAGAGTTATCTCGATGATTCGTTTCATTCTCTTAGCCTTTTCCCAACTGAGCAAAACTCCAAACTGTCACATCAGACGTGGTTGTTCTTTATTAGTCCCCTTGGGTTGCGATCTCTGAGCAGTCGAGTCTCAGCAGGAACAAAGTGGCTGCAGAGGCAGCTGTTAGACAGTAAAAACATGTTACAAACACCAACAGGACCTCTCCTCAGGCTGTTATTTTGTTATTGTGTCTGTGTGGGCTCTCCTCCGGGAAACACGACTCCCTGAACGAGAGGATGTCTGAGACACTTCAGAGACTCCTTCTGCCATCCTTTCGTAGGAGAATAAAAGAGCATCAACTCTCGGTTTTAAACAGCAAAGGTCATACTTTGCGCGCTGATAATAAATGATCGTAGATGTTCTAGGGCTTTTTAAAGGTCAGTCGCTACATGCCATTGTTTCTAAAGCTATTTCTGAACAAAGAAGGCTAAAATGGGAAATAAATGTAATACATTTGAATGATGAAAAGCTGATTTAATATACGAGGGTCACATAGGTTTTGGCTGCAATCTCTGTATATCTTCCTGGAAGTAGGAACACAATCTTCTCTGCAGATTGTCTTTAAAGGTTGAAAACTGTTTGCTGCAGCTCTGATTATTGCTCTGCACACAATCTGAAACTTAAACACTCGCTTAAAGTCATTACACCTGAGCTGCCTCCAGCCATGGACTACTGAGACCACTGCCTGTGATTATTCCTTGCCATCAGGGGACTGATCTGCTTTATCGTGGACCTTTTTTAGCCTCAGCCCCCCTGCGAATGGCGTTTCCAAACTCCCTCTGCTACAGGCCTCACCTCAGGCCAGTCACACTCCTGTGGGATTAATCACACCTGTAGAGGACTGAAGTTTTTAACCAATAAGCTTTTCCTTTGAGATTACAGACAAAGTCGATTGTTTTGTTGTTGTTTTTTCTTCAAGCACATCTTTTGACAGTGAAATAAACAAAGCACATTCTAAAACATTTGGCTGTTTGTTCATCTACACCATGAGGAAATTTGCAATTTTGAAGTTGTTGAAAAAGCCATCTGCGTATAATTCAACTATTTGTGTGCTAGACTTATAAGGGGTAAAGTTTGTGCTATCAAGTTGTAAAAGTAAACTTTAAAAAAAAAAAAAATGTTTGCAACTGAAACGTTTTCTGCCATAAAAAAAACAAACAAAAACATTTTAAGTAACCATCAATTGTCTATACCTCTTAGGCGAGAGGCAGGGTACGCCCTGAACAGGTTGCCAGTCAGTCACAGGGCAAACAATTTAAAATAATATTCTTTAATTATACCGTAATATGTATTTGAACATGCTTTATTTTCACTGCTGTGTGCTAAATTAATGATGTTGCCTTTATACCTTTAAAACCACAATAAGCATCAACTTCACAAACACTTTCTCTTGATACTGGAACTAACAGTCCCTTATATAGAAGGTGAACAAAAGTTGAAATCCACATGAAAGTAAAAGGAAAAAATGCAATAGCCTCCTTTCGTATGTAAGACCTACAAACTTTACTCATCTTCCCTTTTTCCAGCAGATAATGAAAATAAAATATTTTACTGATCCCAAAGGGAAATTAAATAATAATTGAATTTACTTTATTCTCATAAATTCTAGTAAACAAAGTCAACCTTTAACGGCTTGAATAAATCGATTCTAGTTGGACTTGTTCAGACACTTTTTATGACACAACCATCAAAAAAATACGTAATTGTTGGACTTCAGAGTTTATACTCACCAGTTTGGTATGTTCTTCTATCTTGAGCCCTACGATTGATGTTGTCCAAAGGCGCTCATATATCTGTTGTCTGGTGTGTCATCAGTTTGACGCCAACCAGTGAGGGAGGAACATTTAGATTTCAAGAGAAAATATGGACCTCTTCAGCAGAGTGCTTTCGATTTTTTTTTTTTTTTTTTTTATGTGGGAAGGTTCTTTGTGTGTCAAATGATGGTTATCATTTTACACTCGTGTGACAAATTTATCTACAGGGCAGATGTTGGCAGTGTCTCTGTCTTGATTTAAATTTTCAAACATTTTCTGCTAATTTCATCAAGGCGTTTGCTGTGCAATGCATGCTTCTGGATCCTCCCTTCCTATTTGAATATTTAGCATATGGACTTTGAACAGATCAGCCCTCCAGATTTCACAGACGAGAATCTGTTTGTTCTTACCCCTCTATTACCAGTGACATTTAGTTAGAAGGCACAGATGGTTTCAGAACATCTCCACGTCCCGGTCATGCATCCAAAAGAGAACGCGGAGCCTTGAAAAAAACAGGTCACGAAGGCCGTCTCTGCAGTGACGATTAAGGGGATGGAAAAAAAAAAAGGAATTGGAGATTTGTGTGTCAGCGGGTATTAGAAGTGATCGTTTCTGAGAGTGGCTAATTGCATTTAAGGCACTGTGTAGATAAGCAGGACCCAATGTTCTGTTCCCATGTGGGAAGATGAGACAAAACCCACGACGATTGTTGCACTAATGTGTAAATCACACCAGAGAGATGTACAGAAACCAGTGTGAATTGGTTGCATTGGCTCTGTTGTGCCTGAGGGGGCAGTAGTGTACTGTATTTCACATGGATTTTATAATAGGTAAATCACTTCTAAAAGGACACTTTTACAATTTTTTTATGTGATATGTGATGCATATAATCTACAAATGGTCTTGGATTTAAAATCTGTCATCTGGCTCCTCCTTTTCCATTAAAAAATAAGGAAAACAAAGAAATGTAACATAAACATGTAGTTCCGAACTGTCAAACAAACCACAATTTTTTTTGTCAAAGCTTGTCAAATTATACATCCTGTCTTCATTCTGTCCTCTTGTTTCTATTCTACAATAAGTAATTTCTAAAACAATTTCCTTCAGTTTCCTTCTACTTTTTGTTTGCATCCACCTGTCTCTCTCCAACTTCAATATTTACCCCATATTCTTCTGGCCTCCCCCTCAACACAAATGCTGCCTAGCTGGTATCAATAACACCTTGAAGTTACGTAATTATTAAATAAAAACCTTAAAGTGTAATAAAATGTGAGGAAGTTCATCAGATTAGATCAGAAAAGCTATTTCTTTTAGATCAGTGCCCAGCTCTCTGCAAGTTGTTGAGCCATATCTTATACAAATAAAAAGTCACATGTTTATCCCACCCTTGTCTCAGATGCATAAATGTTTTCATTAATTCTGCAAGGCGACATTACGTGTTATAAAACAGAATCAAACTTTTGCATGCATTTCTCTTCGGGCTGTCCAGATGCCGATGCCAAAATTATATTACAAGTTGTTAGTGACAGCGCACAGAAACCACCCACACACAGCGGAAAGCCACACAGAATGAGAAAATATAGGTTAATTTAATCTATTATGATGTGTTTAAAGCCGCAGACATGTTGAAAAGTGTGCAAGCTGTGCAATTTCAATTATCACCCTGATGACTGATTGAATACCAGTTTGTCTGCTTTGGACAAACATTGGGCACAAACACTTGAGACAGTTTGCAGCAGAGATTAGCTTCCAGCCCTGTCAGGTTGAAAGACACACAGCTTCACCCACCCACTTGTGTGTTTGCATTCAGATGTGTCGTTAACACGACTGGCAAAACAGGAGAACAAGGTGCAACAGTACCTTAGCACAAAACCTGGAATTAGGATAAAAATCTTTTTCTTTGTTTGTTTTTAAACAACACATGCATATGCAATGGTTTTAGTGCTTTGTAAATAAAACTGATTGACTATCTCTCTACCAGTAAGTTGTCTGGTAAGGATCCTGCCGACTGCTTTTCTGCTCATGTCAGGATCATCTGTGTGTTGACAAATGTTTATTGAGATCACATGGTGACAGAAATTAAAAGCAGATGGACATAAACGGAGCAGTAGAAGTTGTTAAATAATCTCATACTGCTGTAAACACATTTCTGTGAGGAATTCTCCAGCGGTTTTCGACTTTGGAGCTTGGAGGATATTTGCCTCCGAAGGAGAGCTTACGTGCAAAAAGGAAGGTCGATAGGAAGGCAGCAAATATTAGAAAAGGAAAGGTACAAACCTCTCTAACCATCTGGTTTCACCATCATCAGATCAAATAATCCTGCCAATGCAGAAAAGCATAAAACACACGAAGAAGGAGAGAATGGGATGAGGGGGAAAATGACATCATTAGTCTGTGTTTTGTTCATGACATTTGATGACACATGATAGCTTTGGGGAAATACTTATCAATTTGTATTTGCATCACATTTTTATCCCAATAACTTTTCAGAAATTGTTTATGTTCTGCCATTAGAGCAAAAGTCATCATTTAAAAAAAATACATTTTGTAAGATGTGCAACAATAACAGTTGAAACTAAGCTAATGCTTCGCTGTAAAAACAAAAAAAAATGGGACATGGGGTTGAGCTCTCACTTCACTAATTATTACAATTATGCCATTTTAAGTGTGTGGTAATCATCATAATTATGGTTTGCCTGTCTCGAGGCGATTAAACAAACAAGTTTCATTTCGCATTTGCTTCTTAATGAAGTTGATTATGCAATGAAGCAACATGATGCCATGAAGCATTTGTGTGTTTTTCAATGCATGCAAGCCACAGCGACAGGATGAGTCTCTTTATTTGATTCAGTATCTGAATGAATACTGAGTGTTTGAAAGTGATTAAAAAAAAAGAAAAAAAGAAATCAAGCTGCCTGAATTTTGACATTGACGTATGAAGAGGCACAACTTTCATAAAAACGACGCAGGCAGCTCTGCCTCGGCATTATTTGGTCTGTGCTGTCTGTAATGTGCAGGTGATCTGGAGAAAATATACAAGTTCAGCAGACAAATCAGGTTTCTGCCAATACCTGGTATCTCTGTTTCAACTCAAGTCAGAGGAATTGGATATTTAACCCAAATTTCGCCAACTTCGGTTTCTCCTGAATGACAGCACTGACCAGTAAGGGTTTGTTTAACAAAATTCTTGAGAATTAAAGTTTATAAGGGTTTTTTAATTTATTTTTTTTTTCTGCTTTTCACCGTCTCAGTCATCAGCTGAATTAAAGTATCCATAATGGAAAACCATTATTAAACAGGGACAATTTTCAGACACCAATAAATTAGTTTTGTATTCTTCCAACTAAAACCATCTTTATTCAGCAGAAGTCATTTTAAGGCAATGTTATTAAGAACGTTTTTCAATCAGGTTTTAAAGCACGTCTCTCAACTGAAGCGTTTTAAATTATCTGTGGCCTTTTCACCCTGGAAAATGTGTCTATGTTAGTGCTTTTAGACACCAGAGATGCTTTTGACATGGAAGCTCACAACTTTCTTTTGTCAAGTCTGTTGTTGGGATTTATCAAACTGCATTGCAATGTCTTAAATCATATTTGGGAGACAGAACTTTGACGTGAATAATTTCCTTTTAATGATTGTTTTAATATAATTTCTCATACTTTTTTTTTTTTTTTTTACAATTATTTGAATTATCTGTTCATCACTATCAGCCGAAAGCCCAAAACAAAACTAATTTGAATAATAATATTAAAATTAGTATTCAAATTAATAATTGAACATATAAAATTGTATTTGAAGATTTTCTGAACAAATTCCCAAAACTAACAATCCCCAACAGATATGAAAGTGGTGGGTATCTGACAGTTTTTGGCATCTGTCTATTGCAAGTGTTTCTCAATGCTGCCCTGCATGTTTATGGTCTTTCCCTTTTGCCCCACACCTGACCTGAATAAGTGTGTGATTAACAGGCCTCTTCAGCACTTGATGGCATGCAGAGGAGGTCGTGCAATCATTTGAATCAGGTGTGCTGGAACAGAAAAACATTTAAAATATGCAGGGCCCTGAGGACCCAGATCGAGAAACACTGCTCTATTGAAAGCTATGAGCACTTTAGACTCCACTGTTGATATTTTGCGTCCTATCTTTGGCTTGCTTTGTCAAAGTGAAGTGAGGAAAAACAGATTTGAAACAAAACTCCTCCTGCTTGTTTCCCTAACTTGACAGAAATCCAAATCTAAACAAACATATTTGTCACCAAATACACTAGAAATCATCTCTCCTTGGAATAAGCTGGGGCGCAAGGAGCTTTTCTGCTTCTGGACGCGAATCTGAGTTCGATTTGAACTTATCACTGCCCTTCCATAGCAACAGAGATTTTAATTATGAACACTGCTGGGTGGGCGGGACATTTGGGGTGGCCTAAGTGGGAATAAAAGAGAGTGCCAATAGATGTGGGAATGAAGAGATAACACTGTGGGTCAGACGGCTATTTTTACACTCGGGGCCAGGGTCCAACTCTGTGACACAAGCTTCTGGGGTCTATTGTGCCTCCGTAGTTCACAGGAATAAACACCTGCTGCTGTTCTCAGAATAATTATACACACTGTGAGAGCTTTCTAAGAGCGTGCAGAACGCCAAACGCCAAGAAAATGTCTCCTAATGCCATATAAAGGTAATAGGCCGCTTGTTTACATGAGTAGAAAATGTTCTTTTTCCTGCATAATAATAATTACACTAAATAAAGCCTGAATGTGACAACGTGAGCAAACAAGGTGAAGTCAAACTATGTTCCCAGTCAGATTTATTAAGAAGCCCCCACACAGTAACAAGAATAGGATTACTGAGAATTCAATAGATAATAACCCGGAATCGAGGAGATCGATCACTACTTATCAATATTTAAAGTGAGAAAGCAAAGATTTGAAGCCAGCGGAGCTAAATGTTTTCCATGAACCAGCATTGAAAACAAAACAAACTTTAGCCCTAAAATAAGGAAATTTTTTTTATAGCCAGGAACAAGAAATCCATGTTAAAAACACTAAGCTTTGCTTCTGCATTTATTGATCCCACTAACAATATTTTAAAACTATAAAGCAAAATGAATGAAAGCATTTAATAACCTCAAGATTTTGATCTAATGCATGTAGCTAAATGAACATGAAATTTGTTTACCAGACACAAAACAAGTCTTCCTCCATTTTCTTTTGCCCAGGTCTAAATCCTACAGAAAACTATAATCTTTTAACATTAGATTGTTTCCCCACTTAATAAATCCCCTCAAATTGATGCTATTTTTAAAAAATATTCAGCGTAAGCTTATGCAGATAGATTAGATTAATTCTTAAAAAAAATTTTAAGCAGCTTTTACTCCCAGAGTGCTAAAAAAAATGTAGTCTATATACTTTTTTAGTGCTACAAAAAAAATTATCTGACTCTTCATCATATCTTAATTTAAAGATTTTCTCTCAAACATAAAACAATTCAGAAATAATAATATTTGAACATTACGTATAGCGTTACATTTATTGATTTATGATACAATCACCATTTGAGACGCCAAGCGAGAATGCAGAAAACATTCCACTGTTTCATAAGTTGCTCATGTTGCCACTGAACATTTGCATTAAGCCTCTCCATCAATCACGAAAGCTCTTTCACATTTCCGAGATGCGGGGTTTTAATTTGATCTCACGGAGGGGAACTTGACTTGTGATAACATTATTCTACGAAGACGACTCTCCAGGGAGAATCACTCTCCTGCCAGCCGGCTGTCAGGGGCGGCAAGGCGAGAAGCACAGCTGATAGCCCGTCAACATGACCGTACATCTATCAGGTCCTTTCTGATACACCCTGACAGCGTCACTGACGGGGATTTGGCCGGAGAACACACAGAGGGAGGTGGGGAGGGAGGAATCACATGAGAGCGCAGAAATGCTTCAATGGAAACACACCGAGTGTTTGTGCTCCATGTCGCCTTGTTGGGGGAATTCAACCCTCGCTGCTAAGAAAGAAACACATCTGTTTTCTGACTACATCTCAGAAGCTTTTATTTCACTCCTGAAGTCAGACTGGGTTAAACTGTTTAAAGATGCATGCGGGAGATTTTTCCCCTCCGACGGCTTCTGAATGAGGTATTTACACCGAGTGACGAGCAGATCTGACACACTCAAACCCAATCACCTGCAAAAACAAGACATTTTGGTTTTACTGTAACACTCAAACGCCTCGTTTCTTGTGAAGCAGCTCAGGACGGTTCCCTGTGTTTACGGTAAAATCAGCATGTGAGAAATGCAAATTGCGAGCCTCAGCTGAAACCAACGTCTTTTGAAAGCGTCTAATTCCCTTCCAAGCTATGAGAGAACGTTTATGTGTTGCAGCGCCATGAACTCATGTTGCCATGGGGAAAATAAGGCCTGATCAAATGCCAGTGCCATGGCCAGACTCAAAGAGCATGTTCAGAATCAGGGGAGAGGGGGGGAACAAAAACACAGACCTTTCTCTGAAGGGACTGGCAGACCTGAGCCTAGAATACATCTAACCCTGACACACACAAAGCACTCTCATCTGTCCATTAGTTCTTCCAATTTCTCTTTCTTTCTGGATGCTTTTTTCACCTCGGCGTTGACTAAAATTTTCCCAACTCTGTGGATGAAGTAACCAACTGGCTGCGAGAGCATCTGAACGCAAATTTGTCTTGACAGCGGTGGAGAAATTTGAATGAGGTGTAGGCAAATACTGCAAATTTATTTTTGTTTTCAAGTGGTGGCGTGAAGTGCGGCGTCTGGGATCTGCTAGCACTTGCTGTTGCTACTTGAAACCACGAAGACGACCAGCTAAACGTGTTCATGCTTTTGCAGAATGGCGATCTCTCGCTATAAACGCTGATTTTTTTTTTTTTTTGGAAACATTTACAGTAACTATGTTGAATGCAGAGTAAATTTAGACAACATCCCGATGAGACCAATGGGATTAGAAATAGAAAAGGTGGGAAGTGAGAATAACTTTATTTATATTTGTCTAAATGTTACCAGTTAACTTTCCGATATTATCTATTCTAACCAGTAAATAAAATCCTAAACCAATTGTCGGACAAGTGCATCTCAATTAATTAGAATATCGCTGAAAAGTTAATTTAGTATGACCAATTCAGCTCAAAAGGTGAAACTTGATTGATTATTGTAATGTCTCAAGCATTTATTTCTGCTAAATTTGATAACTGTTAAAAACTATTGTGCCTCAGAAATGTAAAAATATTCCATCTGAGCAACAACAACAAATTACCACAGAAATGTCATTGGTGCTGTAAAGTTCGACATGTATCTGCCTAATACTTAGCCACAGCTCCTTTTGGTTAAATTACTTCATCAGTGCAGTGCAGAATGAAGAGGACCAGCCTGTGGCTCTGTGGTGTTTGTGAAGCAGGTTGCTGTAAGAGAAGCTTTCAGCTCGGCTGGACTGTTGGGTCTGGCGTCTCTCGTCTCCCTCTTGGCAAACCTCCATACATTTTCTATGGAGCTTAAGTTAGGAGAGATTGCACACAGTGATATCATGGTCACTAAACCAGGTGTTAGTGCTTTTGGCGGTCTGAGGGGTTGCCAAGTTCTGCTGGGTTTACATAAAGCGTTCTTGCTAGACAGCTGTGCTGACTTTGGACTTGATAAAACACGGTGGACCAACAACAGCAGTCACAGCTACGAAAATCATCACTGACAGTGAAAGCTGCGACTTGGATTTTGTGCCTCTTTGCTATTCCTCCAGATTCTGGAACCTAAACTCTTAAAATAAAAATAAACTAAGAATCTATGTTGATTTAAAAGCAGTCCAGTCTTTTTTCTCTATAGCCCAGGTAAGATGAGTCTGATATTGTCTCTGGATTGGGAGTGGTTGTCTGGATACAATACTTACTTATAATAATGTATTGGCTATTAAACACTTTTTCCTTCCATTGAACTTCCCTTTATAGTACTTTTTTTTTTTTTAGCAATGATCTTCCCCATCCATGTGAACAACAGTTGTCACTGCATACATAATACAGGTGTGTTGTGAGAATCTTTACCTCTTACCGCTAAATATTCTTACAACACCTAATATAGAAATCATTCCTCTTGCATTTGGTTGATACAATATTAAGTTTTTGCGTCAGTCAGAAATTCTACAGCATCCAACGTCTTTTTCTTTTTTGTAACTCGATGAACTCCGTTAAGGAATGAAAAAAACAATTTTAAAATTCATCAGAGTATAGTGGATAATCTACACTATGCAAGATGCGATCAGGAAAGCGAGACGCTTTAATACGCAGAGTCACGCAGCTCTTATAAAAGGTTCAATCTGCTGCTGAAGACCTCACATACTGTGCCTCAGGGCAACGAGAGGCTGAGATGTGGAGGAAGGGCTGCACCTGATGAAAATGCGTTTCAGCATTTCGCTGTGGAAGTAAGGATGCCTGACTATTAGACCGTAGTGTTGTGTGTGTGTGTAACCACGGCCCGCAGGAGCTCGGAGCGGTTCTTGCATCACCGCTCAGTCACGAGTTATCCTTGTTCCTCTTTTGTTTCACATGGAGAGGGCAAAAGTCACATACAGGAGCTGCTGTTGGCCAGTTTGTAGCCCGGCTCAAAGCTCAGCATCCTCAGCAGCTGTTGCAGCGTGCGACTGATAAAAACATGAGTACGTGGAGCTATTTGACCTGCTGACCCCGTCTGCTGCCACTGGCTCCTTCATTAGCAGCAGTGCAAGCAAAAATGAATGACTATTGCACATCTGAAAAGAAAGAGGACATGTACAATTATCAAAACAATTTGCATTTAACAGGGAAGTAAATATTAATACTTATGAAAGTAGGTTAAAACGTGCTGTGTTTCAGTATATTTTTCACACAGAATATATTGCTTCAGCTGTACACAGCTTATTGACACAGAAGGTCCTTGAACTCTATTTATGGGCAAAGTTCACAGTATGTAGTTTGATCAGTAGTGTGTTTTGCAAGCAAAACTGTTTTGCTGAAACAGTCCCCCCGCCACTATCAGAAGAAGTCTGCTGCTAGGAGGTGATTTCTTCGTAAAAAGGTGTGATGACCGGTGATGAAGGCGATTGATTGAAGTTGATAAAATGCAAGAGAAACACCTTTTGTTGTCTGGTGTCGTTCAACATGATTTTCTTGAGGATTTAAAACAACGCGGACAGCGTGCGGTGCTCCTGGAAAGTATTTATCGCTGCAACACTCTGCAAAACTGTCCACCGGGTGATTGATTAGCTGCCCAAAAACAGAGCTAGTGTGAGAGGAAGAATCTTCAAAGTAAACATACATCATTTCAGCTTGGCGTCTCCACGGTGATCACATCAAATTCAAGTTTTATTTAGAGTAAAGAGACCACCGGAGAGAAACACACAAGAAATAACAGGCTCAGGTCTGCTCAGCAAGACAATATACAGAAAGAAATTCAGAAATTTTAGAGAAATTACAGCTGAGAGGAGAGCAGAGTGTTGAATATTGGTCTTTTTTTTTCAAGCAGTCAATGTCTTCTTAACTTCACTTGAAACAATCCCTGTGATGTCAACATTGTGTAAGGAATATTACCCGCTGTAATGTTTTTGGAGTTTTATGCGTGCTCATTTTGGAATTATTTTTAAATTCTGATTTAAACTTTCTGAGATCTTATGATGAACCAGCCCTGCCTCTTCTTAGAGCCTCCAGACCACCAGTGGTCTCCCATAATTGCAATTGCTTAAATTTAAACAAAAGGTTTATTTATCTATGGAAAATGAGGATATTATTAGACCTAATTTGATTGTTTTTAGTATAATAAATAAATTATATATATATATATATATATATATATATATATATATATATATATATATATATATATATCAACTAAGTAATGTTTACCTTGTGTGCAAAAAATAAACATCATAGTGTGACCTTTCTTTGTGTTTAACACTTTGGTTTGTACATAAAAACATCTCGGCAAAAAATGGCCAATTATGCCTGATTGCTTTAAGCTCCGCCCCCTTTCCCAGATTCCACCACATCCAAGGCTCTAAGCGGATACAAGACAGTGGTGATGTCTTGAGCGACAATTATAAACCCCAAATAAAGCTACTGAATAGGAAAAATACAGTCAATTATTAAAATATTGTCATATTCAAAGTTGAGCATATTTTGACCTTCTTCACACTTTTAATAAAATATAATTGGTCAGAAGCGCTTTGCATCCATCTTTCGTCTCAACACCGAGGCGACACCCGCACCCTCCTCCTCCCCCACCCAGCGTCCAGTTGCGTCACGCGGCTACAAGGAGTGGAGCGGCTCGGCTGAAACACACACACACACACACACACACACGCGAAAACACACAAACGGCCACCAGCGCCCACCGCACACACACACACACACAAAGTGTTTCCTTTCCTTTTACTCCTTCTTCAGGAGTTTCGTTTGAAGCCGCAGTCCGGCGGTGTTCGCGGTGTCGCCGACAGGTCGGAGAACTGAACTTCTTCCCGAGGCGCTCCAGAATCTCTGTTGAAAGTTGGATTACAGCGCAGCGACCTGAACTGAGAGGGAATAAAGCTGCTCAGAGGATGAGCATTTGGGATATCAGCGGAGCTCAGTGCTGTCAACGGTAATTTGTTCCATTTTTATTATTATTATTAATATTATTAGAGTCATTATGCAGTTGTAGTCATAATAAAATTTGTTTCATTTTCTTTTGCTGGTTGGGGTCAAGTTTACATTTTTTGATGTTTTCCCCCCCCTTTAATTCCATCAAATGCACTTAATGCTTTTTATCGCTCCATTATCAGTGCAATTCCATCAACACCATCCTTTCATCTGCAGCATTATAAACCAAACCCAGGTGCAGAGAAGGAATTACTGCATTATGTCTGTGCAAACTGGTTTAATCTAAATTGCTCCAAATGAATATGACTCATTTAAGTTTTTTTCTTTTTTTTAACTTAAAACGAGAGTGCAACAGATCACATGAATGTGTAACTCCTGCCTTTATGAGGCTAAACCAAGTGAGACATAAAGTGTATTTGTATGTTCCCAGACATTTAATTAATGTTAATTTCCACTATTTAATTTTTACAGATTAGAAAGTGAATCTTTTCTATATGACTGCTAAAGTTCTGCCCCTTTGTTTCCATAATTGCATGCCAAACACACAATTATATAACACATTAAAGACTTACCTAGTCTATGACATATAATTACACACCAGGGAAATAGTTCTTCTTAATGCACAGTTTAACAGTGGATAAATCTGAATTTGATTGTTACGGGAGTTAATTGTTTAGGAACCATTCTGTTGTTAATTAGACTCACTTGAGCGGCATCATGCAAACCAACAAAAACATGTGGGTTCCTCGGTCCCTTGTGCGTCCTACTGAACCGGGTGTTTGTGGAAAAACATGGTGCATTTTCTGTTAAACACCTACCACACACAAGTAAACAAAGCGAATTCATTAGCAGCACATCTGCTGCAGCAATGCCACGGAGCAGGACAAACCTCACCCACCATGGTGAGGAATCAGAGTCATGCTCGCAGGTGCACCGCATGGCTGAGAGAGCTTTGTCTGCATACAGTCTTTGAAGCTGGTTTGCAAGCGTTAGTGGGCGGTGAAGGCGTTTCATTGAATACTGAAAGTAAATTTGTGATGCTTTGCAACACAAAACTAAAGTGACCCTCTGCTCCGGGAGAGCTGATGGACGACATGTGCAAGGCTCAGAGTTCAACTGTTTTTGTGGTTTAAAACACGGGATCTTAATTTTGGGCGAGTGTTTGCACTTGGCCATTTATTTGAAACTCTGAAAATAAAGAGCACTTTGCGGTGTTTTCTTGGTTCTGTGTGGATGTATAAAATACAATTTTAATTTTCATTAGGTGTTTTTTTTAATATATATATATATATATATATATATCTTTGGGAAAAGAAGGTTGTGAAGGACGGCTTGTAAACAGTAGGAGAGATGAAGCAAATAGGTTGAATACAGCTTTAAGTTTTATATGTTTCATTATCATATGACTCATTGAATTGCCCATAAATGCATAATAAGTCACTGACAGTATGATTAAAAGTAACTTCTGTAAATTAATAGCGCCAAACATAATTAAATCATCTATAATTTGTTATGCATGCAAATAATTTGCCCTGTATTTGCTTTGTCCTTATAGGATAAGATTTTTTTTTTCACCTTTCTATTCTTGTTAGAAAGAAAATGAAACATTTTTAAATTTAAAGCATTTAGTCATCTCGTGAAGGTATATGACGGCCTATTTGGAGCAAGAAATCAAGATCTGTGAGACGGCGGCTAAATATGGGTGAGCAGTGTGATACTTAGACGGCCTTGACAGCTTTAGCCTTTTAGTGTGATAACTATGAGGGTTAGTGAAATTGATAGGTGGGGACAGAGAATAGAAAGGCTTGTTTCTTGTATCCATCACTGCCTGTAGTAATAAGTGAAAAAAACAGAAGGCATTGAAGAAGAGAAATGAATCTGAGCGAGACAAACCGCGAGTAAAGAGACGAGACGCAACTAAAGGAAGTTAAAAGAAGAGCCTCAGCTTGATCTTCTCTATAGGAGATGAGTGAGAGCAAGAGTGTCTGTGTCGGCCCACATCGAGTGATCATGAGCATCATGTGGGGCACTCCGGGTTCTGATTCAGCTGGACCCTCTGAATGAACCTAGCAAGGCTAATAATAGATTCCACAACAATGAACCGGTAGCCCAGATTGTGACAGAACTCTGATAAGTCTGTCTAGATTAGAAAGCCTCTGTTCTCGTAGCACCTTGTCAAAAATACACAGTTTGTCAGATCCTGAGGGCAATTTGTTGAAAAGAAAACCGAGAAGAGTCTCGCTACCAGGGATCACATTGGGATGTCAGAGAATCTTGGATGGTTGTTTTAATGTTAGAGCAATTCCAACATTAAGGATTTCACAGCTATTCCATTACCCTTCCCATCACTGTTGATTTAAAAAAAAAAGATTGCTTTGTATTGGTTCTGCCTCAGTTCACTGTATGTTTTGATGATATCCCACCTTAGATTTTTTTTTTAATCTGGTTGGATACAGATTAACTACATTTTCTTGAAGAATGTTAAATATGTAATGTTGGACTAACACCAGAGGATGGGAGTAAGACAAAATTAAAATGTTACAGTAATATTATATTAGCAAAATTAGACAAACGTAGCAAAAATGTTCAATTCAACTGGATCAGGCCACCCTCTAACCCTGTTAAGCAACACTTCTTCTGGGTTCATCCGTTTTATTTTCTCCTCTGAGACGTCAAAGACTCAGTTCCTCTATTGCTTCTGTCTGCTTTCTGCACAGGAGCATCAATAAGAGCTGAGCACCCAATCAAAGGACGACTTGATGTAATGTGTAAAGATACCTCACGTTAGAATAATGTCAATGCATTCAGTTCTTATTTTCTTCGTTTTTAAAACGCATTCTTCATATTTCAAGGTGAACAAAAATGGCAACAATCACCATATAACTGTTTCAAGACTGGGGCTGGTTTCACATTCAAAGTTGTAATCATTGAAAAGTTCACCTTTAAGAGTTTAAGGCAATCCATTTTCAAAGTTGTGCAATTTTTATAAAGCTTTTTAAATAACAAAAAATGGGCAAATAAGATTATTCACTTATATTGCTGAATTGAACACTTGTCAGTGTCATAAAACATTCATAGTTTGGAAATTCTGGGATAGTATGTGTGGAAGAAGAGGTACAGTATTTAGAGGAAACAATTTTTTTCTTGTACAACTCAGTAAGACACAGTGGTGCTTGTTGCCCTTTGTTTGAAGGGAAACATTTCCATTTCCGGGGCAGATACTTCTGCCATTACCCTCTAACCTCTGTCTCTCAAAAGCCGTCCCAAAGAAAAAAAATTAAATTTGGATACTTTTCCTCACGTTTTTGTAATCTAAAACCGAGCAGAGCAAAGACGTTTTATTAGACTGCTCTAAAGCAGTAGCAAACAGAGTTGTCCCCGTCAAAGTAACGAGAGGTTTGAATTGTTTTATTTGACTATTTTGCTAACTGTATTGACTCTAAGGGAGCTTTTTGCCTGACCTTTCACACTATACAGCCTGTACGGTTTGTTTGCAGGCTGACCCCGACTTTCTAAAAACTCAGTTTCTGTTGGACGGTTAGATGTATTTATCTAAGCCAGAGTTCAAGCCGAGATGCCAAAACTCTGGCAAAATAATGGCACAGGAGGAAAGACAAAGCATGGTCTGAAATCCCACGTCTTAGCAAATTTCTGCTGCTGTGCACACAGTGCTCATTCAGAGGCGGTTCTTGTGCTGCCAGACCCGTGCGGTTACAGATTTGGACAGCTTTGTCCATGAGTGAGTGTAAATCTAGACGTAAGATTGGAGGCTCCAGGAAATCAAATTTGAAATTTCTGATAAACAATAACATGGCAATTTATTTCCTCAACATCCTCTTTAGGGCGGCTCCACAACATTAAATCGCATGATGTGCTTAATTTTATTTTATTTATTTATTGATTCTCTTCCAAACTGGAAAGTAAAAAAAAAATAAAAAATTCCAGTACAAATGCATTCTTTAGAGAAATCAATCTACATGCGAGCCAACTGGTATTTGCAGCAGAATACATTTTGTGGTTAGATCAAGCTTTTTTTTTTAATGGAGTTCTTTCATGGGGTCAACTTAATGGCTGTGCCAGCCCGCTTATTGCTTGTGTTTGTCATTGGCTGAAACAAACAATTTCACCAGGAGCTTAGTTGAATGTCCCTGTGGTTGGTGGTTCTGGCTCATTAACAAACTGATTTCAGCCACCTAAATGGACAAATTAAACTTGTAAATGCTTTGTGGAGTAAAAGCATAAAGGAATTTGGTTGTGTTCACCTCTTTGAAAGCAGAATCACTTTAAATTTCGCCTTTGCAGAATCCACTGGAACATCAAAATTGGAAAAAAAAAAAAAAGACACCCGACAACAGACTGTTTTTTCTAACATATTGGTACATTTAGATTTTTAATATAATTTTTTGCCAGACAAATATCTTTGAAATTCTTTCAGGTGAGGAATAATTAGGACACCTCTAAGTTTACTTTTGCTTGAAATAGCTAGAGTCACACAGTGGTGCGTCACTTTTTTGGTTACACATGATAAGAAAACCGTTGCTCAGCACGTTAAAGTAGGTTTGCCCTGTTTAAACCTCTGACATTTAGTTTCATGAGCCCCTCACAGCTAAAGCGAGACTGATCACCATGGTAGGACTAAAAGAGCTTCGAGCTAAAACATTACCTGAGAGAGAAAACAAAGGCCAGAACTCCTGGAATAATGTTCTCTGAACAAACGAGTCTGATACAGAATGATTTTTAGGCACCAGAAAAGACGACATATTTGTTACAAGTTGTTACGCATGGAGCTGGAAATGTCATGGTTTAGAGATCCTCTGCTGGATCCTCTGCTGGATCCCTAAGCCATAACATTTAATACAAGGACTGGGTGAGAACTAAAAAAAAAGGAAAGTCACATCTCAATGATGCCGCAAACTTCACTTAAATGGTGTCAGAGATTGACGTGTGCACAAGGCATTTCTGCAGACTAATAGGGTGAGGATGTCCTAACTTGTTAATGTC